ATCATCCAGTGGAACGACCAGGCCGCTAACCACCCGCAGTTCCAGCGCATCGATCGCGGCAACGCCATCATTTCCTTCCAGGCACTCTTTGCTGACGCGGAGACGGCCACGTGGCGTTCCTAACCATCGCTGGGCTCCGTGGAGGGATGACGACGCCACCGAGCCGACCACTATCGTCACGCGGGGCGCCAGAGCCCTCCTGCGCTACAAGAGTAAGCGCCGCCGTCGCAAGCAGGCCGCCCTTGCGAAGTATATGATGCGCAAGTGCGTCATCACACTGCAGGGGGTCCACGGCTCGGAGGCTCTGCTCCGCACCTGGGTCGACGCGCAGCCGAGCCCCTACAAGCTCTTCTTCTCTGAGTTCTCGCGCGACGACGGCGACGACCCGAATGCCGCGGGCGGCGTCGCCACGCTCATCCCCCGGTTTACCCCGATGGAGCTCGAGCAGCTGCAGCCGGGCCAGTCTATTCGCTCATGAAGAACTCGTTCTTGGTCGTGTCCAGCTAGTGGCCGTCACGCACGCCGTCGCGCGTGCAACCTTGGCCCTCATGAATGCGCAAAATCACGAGATCGCCGATGCCGACCGCCGCAGGGTCCAGCAGGCCTGGGAGCTGCATCGCACTTGGGCGGAAGCTAACTACCGCATGCGCACCTTCATCGCGATCGGGGGCTCCAGCGCAGCCAGCCGCCCGCCGCAGAGCTTCCTGCAGCCGCAGCCGCGGCGCGCCAGGCTTGCGCTGGACAGCGGCATGCGCCAGCAGCAGCCCTTCTGAAAGTCTCTCTTCGACTCCGTGCTTGAGATCGAGACCGAGCTCCCCGCGCACTTCAACCGCTCGGACTTCACCGCCGCGACCATCGACCGCATCTTCATCAGCTTGCCCTCGCGCGCCACCCAGGAGCTCTCGATCCACGCGAACGCGGCGCACGACGCCGCGCTCCTCTCGGACAATCGCCTGAGCGACCACGCTATCATCGCTTTCCCCATCGGCATCAAGCCGCGCACCCCGGAGGACGAGCAGGCCATCCACCCCTCGATCTTTCGCGGCCCGAATTACGCCATCTACTTCCAGAAGCTCCTGGACGCCACCAACTTCGACTACGTCCCGCTGGACAGCCGCTGGCGCACCCACAAGCGCCTCATGACGGAGGCCGCCCAGCCGGTTCGCGACGATTGGGTCCGCCGCGCTACAGGCGATGCCAACAAGACAGGCTTCCTGGCCGACAGGGTCTACACGATGCGCTCCATCTCGCGAGCCGTTTGGCGCCAAGACCTTCGACTGGCCCGCGGAATTGCCGCCGCGACCGAGCTCGGCGCCAAGTTCGTCAAAATCTCCGAAGGCGTCATCACGATCAACGAGCCTGCCGTCTTCGCCAGCTTCGCTTCGCAGCTGAGCCGCAACTTCGAGGCGCGGCAACTCTCTCTCTCTCTCTCTCTCTCTCTCTCTCTCGCGCAGCAAGCCGCGCGGCGCCCTCTGGGGCGCGCTGGCGCCCTGGCTCCTGCGAAACTCCGCGAGGTCCTTCGGGCCGCCCAGCGTCGGGCTCTCCCATGGCCCCCCTGGAAGCGCCGTCTCTCCCCGCGGGGAATCGAGGTCACGGGCCCAGACGGCCCCGAGATAGCGAGAGAGAGTGGCTCGATGGCCACCGCCCTGCGCGACCATTGGCAGCCCGTCTTCGCCGCCAAGCCCGTCGACGAGACCAAGGTCACCAACTGCGTCCACGCGCGCGCGACGAAGGGCGAGATCCTGGGCATTGGGACCCCCGCGGGGCTGCAGATCAAGGCCTTCCTGCAGCGCGCTTCGCCGTCATCACCAGGCCCCGATTGCTTGCCGTACTCTGCCTGGCTCGCGCACGATGTCTCGCTTACCCTCCTGGAGGACGTGTCCTTCCTCTGCTCGGGCCAGTACTACGTCCGCGACTTAAATGAATCCGATTGCGCCTTCCTGCCGAAGGGCGACAACGCCGTCGGCGAACTCGCGAAAGACAGCTCCCGAAGATGCCCGACCGCTCTCGCTGAAGAACACCGACATAAAGGCCATCGCTGGGGCAGACAACTACCTCATCAAGGGCGCTGTGGAAGAGCGCGCCCACATAGCACAACAGGGCTTCGTACAGAAGTGCAACTTCACCAAGCACATGTTTCGCTTCGACTCTGAGATGCGGCGCGCAGGTCTGCTCCCTGGAGCTCTTCAATCCAAGCCCGTCTTCGCGAGCTTCGACTTCTCTGCCGCCTTCCCGTCGCTGGGGCGGGTTTGGCTCTTCGCCGCGCTGGGGCACTTCGGGGTCCCAACTGGCCTCGTGAACCTCTTCCGTGCGCTGTGCTTTGCGCCGAACAGCTACGTCAAAATCGACGGCATCAGACACGCCATGTTCGCCATAGAGTCTGGAGTTGCGCGGGGCTGTCCTGCTTCGGGCTCGGCCTGGGCCATCGCCATGGACCCGCTCATCCGCCACCTCGCCACGTTTGTGGAGCACCGCGTCGGCGCGCCGCATCTGGGCGCCGGCTACCTCGGCGCCTGCGCGGACGACATCGGGCTGCTGACATACTCCTTCGACGCGCTGCGCCGCGCATCTGAGCCCCTTGCCGCAGCCGAGGAGCTTGCGCTCCTCTCGCTCAAGCCTCGCGCATTTTCATCGTTCCGCTCTGGGCCGCGGCGAGCCCAGACACCATTGCCCAAACCGAAACCGTTTTGGCCGAGCTCGGACCTCCTTGGGGTGGTTTCTCGGTTGCGGGCTGCGCCAAATACCTCGGCACGTCCCTCGGCCCCGAGGCCTCGCTGGCTTCGCAGTGGCTCGCACCGGGGCAAAAATGGCGGCAACGGGGAAACCTTCTACAACCAGTGCAGGGTGGCAGTGACGCCACAGCTCGTCTTTATAATACCTCAGTCCTGTCCACGCTCATCCATGTCGCCCAGTTCTTTCCGCTTCAGCCGTTGATCGCCCGCCGTGAACAGTATGTTTTACATGCGATGCTTAGCCTGCCGCCGAACTCACTTCGCAAGGTTGATTTCATTGCCATGGCGTGGTGGAGCCCGCCGCCTGTCCCACAGTCCGCTCAGGTCACATTTCTCGCTGTTGCTGCCCGCTTTGCTGCCGTCACTCTCGCGGGTGATTGGGAGCTGTTTGCCGAGCGCCTCGCCGACGCATCATGGGAGGAAACCTCCCTTCAGAACGCGTCTTGCTGGCAGGCTGGCGCGTGGTCGCCCGCTTTCTGGTCGTCTCAGCAGTCCATCGTGCAGTACTATCGCTCCCTCCTCGGAGCCCAGCCTCAGAAGCCGTTCACCCGCCAAGCTGTCTCAGCCGCTTTGCACGCCGCCCGCCTCGAACTGCGCGAGGCCGCAGCTGCCGCCCCGCCGCGTCGCCCGAAATGCCAGCGCACGTTTGCACGCAAGCTTGCACAGCAAGCTGACGCATCGCCGTTTGCAGTCATTCTGCTCAAACGCATCTCGGCCTGGGGCCTCCAGGCGCCGACGGCGCCAGGAGAGCTGCAAAAGTGTCAGCGCTCGCGGAATCGCTCAAGACGGTGCGCCAGCTGGGCCACACTTAAGACATTCAGCGGTGGCTGGACTACCACTGGCCGCATGCACGTGCTCGCCCCAAAACAAAGCGTTTTCGGGTTCCCCACTACCCCACCTGCCCCTCGCTTTCGAGCCTCCTCTGGCCCCCTGATCCTCCCCCCCTCCGTTCGACGCTCGCTGCCTGGGGCCTTGAGCCCGCAGCTGCGTACCCGCCCGAGAATCAGAATCCGCTTTCGTTGCGCTCGACGGTCGAGCGCATCACGTTAGCGTTTCATATATATGACATAATGAAGCATCACGCTGACCCGAGCTCTCGCCCTGCGGCGATGACCGCAGCAAGCCGAGCTGCCAAAGCATTATTCTATAGGTGAGAGCTAGCGACGGGCGCTGCGGACGATCATTATTTGCCCTCGTCTCGCTTCGTGCCCGCTTGCCCTTTTCTCGTCTCTTTCAAGGTGCTTTAACTCCTCTTCTTCCTCCTCCTCCTCCTCCTCCTCAGCTCCTCCTCCTCCTCCTCCTCTTCCCCGTCGTCGTCCTCCTTCTCCTCCTCATCCCTCCTCTTCCTCCTCCCTCCCTCAGGGACCGGGCGGCGCAGCCCGCGCCGACCCTGCGGGCGCCGGGCGTTCGGGCGCCGGGCGTGCTGGCACCGCACGCGCCCGGCGCGGGGGGGGCGGCGGGCGCCGCCCCTTGCGCGCCGGCGTCGTCCTCCACCGCGGGCGGCGCAGGCTCTTCAGATTTCCGAGGAATCGATTGCACGCACAGTCAACGCGTATAAAAGGGATGCACGATAAAGATGCAAGGGCCTTGGCAGGTCATGCCGATACCTTTCGAGCGGGGCGCGGCCAGCGAAAGTGGCCATGGGTGGGCCGAAAGGAACGGATGCAAGTGTAACCTTGGAAAGCCGTTCAACTTAGCTATCAGTGTCGACTGTGAGAGTGACCCTTCGCCTGAGTGGCCTCGCGCTCACCAGAAGCCGCGCACCAAAGGTCACTCTTGCCCAGGGTCATTCTTACGTGCAGCCGAGACGATCTGTGTGATTCTTGTTCGGTGTGGGCGTGTTTTCTGTTCCGTCGTTTCGGCTTCGCGGGGCTCGCCATCGGGCCACAGGGCCAACGAGATGGATCGGAGGCGAGAAGGTGGCCCCGGCGGAGAGTGTCAGGAAGAAAAAAACACACAGTTACACGAATAAGCGCCGATATTCATGACAATATGGAAAATATGGAAAGTAGAGGGGCATACAAATATCATGAACATATAGAAAAATATCGGGAATCCTGGGATCTGTGTCTGTTTATGTGTGTGTGTGTGTGTGTGTGTGTGTGTGTGTGTGTGTGTGTGTGTGTGTGTGTGTGTGTGTGTGTGTGTGTGTGTGTGTGTGTGTGTGTGTGTGTGTGTGTGTGTGTGTGTGTGTGTGTGTGTGTGTGTGTGTGTGTGTGTGTCTCTGGGGGTTGTACCGACAAAACACACACCGTCGGACGTCCGGGTCAGGCTGCGGGCCAGGGGGCCTCGGGCCCACAGCGGCGGCGCACCACCTGGCGGAGGCTGCGGTGCCCGCGGCGGTCCCGCGCGCGGGCGCCAGAGAGGCACTGGTGCGGCCACCTGCTGATGACAGCAGGGGCCAGCAGAGAGAGTTTGGCTACAGGACTCGGGGGTTGGGCCACCGCCACCGAGAGCCCATCGGCGAGGGACTGGCCCCCGGGCGGTGGCACACTCTGCGTGTCGTCTCGTGTTGGAGGGGCGCTCGGGCCTGCCTTCGCCCGGGAGTCGGTCACTCGCTTATATGGGCTCTCGGTGGTGGCGGTCCGCGTTGCTCCTCGGAAGGACGGCAGCCCAGCCAGCAGAGGCAGTGCCGCTTGGTTCGAAAGAGGAGCAGCAGCAGGAGGCGAAAGCGACGCGGGAGCAGAGCGACGAGCTGAAGGACCACATCGGGGACACCAGCTGGACGGCCTGGATGCGGCCAGAATCGCCGCGCGTTGGTGGTGAAAAGGCCCAGCAATTATTGGGATCATCAGGGTCATCCACACCTGTCCTTTCCAGGGATTCGAGTGTATTTTCTCGAGAGCCTCCGTCTGCACCTCCGAGGCCGCCGCGTGGCATCGAGAGCAAGGGCCAGCGTGTGCTGCGGCCGACATCCCCCAAGAACATTGCAGCCAGTGTGGAGCCTCAGTCTCTGCGAGCTGATAGTGCCGACAGCGGCACCTACCACGTAGCTCATCTGGCAACAGGCCCTTCAACTTCCGATCGATCTGCTGGCGGCTTCCAGGGGGGCCCTGGAAGAAACGCAGAAACAGAGTCGCCCCTCACCAGCGGCATCAAACCTCAGCGCGAACCACGGCCGGCCCACATCCTGGCCCCTGTGGAGCCAACTGTGCCAGGGGCGTGGCCCGCGAGCGCGGCCCCAGAGCCGCCGAGCGCCAGCGAGGAGGGGTGCCCGCGGGCCCCGCCCGCCCTCGGGTCTCACGGGGACCTGGCGCGGCCTGCGAGTGCGGGCCCGGAGCCGCCACCCGCCGGCGAGAGCCGGAAGCAGCAGGCCCAGACGGAGCCGGCCGGCCTCGGGGCTCACAGGGGCCCGGCGCAGCCTTCGAGGGCGGACCCCGGGCCGACATTCGGCAGCATTGGCCCGGACGAGCGGGCCTCAGCAGGGCAGCCTGCCCTCGGGGCCAGTGCGGTCCCATTGTCGCCACTCGTGGGCGAGAGTTGGGACAGGCAGGCCCGGCAGGCCGCGACGCAAAGGTCACGCGTTGAGCTGGGACAGCCCGCGAGGGCAGCCCCAGAGGCGGCACTTGGCGAGGGTCGGGACCAGCAGGCCCAAACGAAGCCGCCCGTCTTCGAGCCTCACCCGGCGCAGCCTGCGAGGGTGCTGACAGAGTCGGCACTCACGCGAGAGAGTCCGGACCAGCCAGCCCCGGTGGAGCCGCCTGTCCTTGGGGCTCGCAGGGATCTGGCGCAGCCTGACAGCAGTGCGGCCCCACTGTCGCCACTCGCGGGCGGGAGCTGGGATAAGCAGGCCCAGGCTCACCACCCACCAAACCACCCAAACCCAACCCGAAGTCCCCAATTTGCACTGCATTCCCAGTGGGTTGGTGAAGGTTGTCGGGGAGCATTGAAAAAAACACATGTGGAACCCGTACCCTCTCAACCCGAAATTTGGGTGTTCGGGTTAGCTTGGGGTGGTCTGGTAGGTAGTCACAGGCCGAGCCGCCAATCCTGAGGGCTCGCAGGGACACTTGCCGGCGAGGGTTGGACCAGCAGGTCCAAGCAGAGCTGCCCGTCCCCGAGCCTCGCCCGCCGCAGACTGCAAGAGCGGCCCAGGAGGCGCCACCGGCCAGCGAGGATCAGCGGCCCCAGCCGCCCATCCTTGGGTGCCGCAGAGACCCAGCCCAGCCTGTCCACGGGGCGCTTCCAAGGTTCTGGGCACAACAAAGAACCACATCCACAACGAAGTGGACTCTTCGGGAGGGCCTCTCGGAGGAGAACCCACCGACCTCGAGATGAGCATGTTGGTTGTGGTTGTGGTCGACTTGGCCTTCTTGGGACGCCACATCGACCTCAACCAGGACGAAGCTGGTTTCGGTGTTCCGACAATTCTTGGCATGCGCAAAACATTCCCCAGGGTGTGTCCTCGATGTGCTTGTGGTCGCTTGCTGTCCCCGCAAAGGTCGGAGCCGCTCCGCCCGGACCTCCCAGAGGATCTCGAATAACAGAAAGTACAGCATCAACATACAGTCGAAACCGATGGGAAGGATGGGTAGCCTTCCCAAGGGTACCCCTTGCATCATTGCCTTTTCGATGCATCGTTATGGCCCGCCCCGCTCGAAAAGCTTCGACATGGGCGTTCAAGGCCCCTGCCTCCTCAGCGTGCGTCCTTACTATAAACTTTCGAAGATCCGCGCGGACTTCTGGATCGGTGCCTTGCCCCACCGGCGGCGCTGCCGCCCCCTGGCGCCCCCCGCGCGCCGGCCAGGGAGGAAGGCTCGGCGCCGATACGAGAAATCTGCGCGGACCTCCTCCGAAAGCTTTACTCCTATGCCCCTGCTGTTCACCTCCAAGGTTTTAGGTTCCCCAGATGGGGTCGGAGCAGATAGAGTCGGAGGTCGCGCCGCATCGCCGATGCATCGGCGATGCGGCTCGATGTGGAGCCTGGTCTTCTCCCCGTCAACGTCGCCGATGCATCGCCCGCGTCGCCGATGCATCGGTGATGTATCGGCGATGCGGCGCGATCCTCCGACCCCGTCTGCTCCGACCCCATGTGAGAGGCCTCTGATCGGCGGCGCGCCCAGGGGGGGGAGTGAGAGGGGGCAGACCCTCTCGGAAGGCGGCGGGGCTTCTCAGAAGCCTTCCGGCCTCGTGTCTGAGAAGCTCTCCCTGTCTTCGGAGAAGGCCAGGGCAACTGTTCAGAGGGCCCGAGGCCTTCCGAGCCCTCTGAGAAGGCCCGCCACCTCTGCATTCCCCTCTGGGCTCGCCGCGAATCTGAGGATCGGGGCCCGGCAGCGGGCGTGGCCTCGAGGCCTCGGGCGTTGCGCAATCTGGGGGCGATCAATGAGGAGGTGACGACAGGTGCATCTCTTGCGCCCCAAAGGGCGCCAAAGGGCTCCCCTGGAGCCCACAAGGGATGCGAAAGCTGCACGTCACCCCCCATTCCCCCAGTTATCCTTCCTCCCCACTGATGGTCGACGCCCGAAGGCCGCCCCGCGCCAGCGTGTCCGAGATCCTGGGCCTCTCCGCGAGGGCAAGCGTGCCGCCCGCTGACGGGCCGCCCGGGAGGCTTCAGCAGGGACAAAGCACAACCACAAACAATCGTCGATTCCAATGAAGATATGGAACGCATGGGAAGTGGAGGGGAAGACGAACATCCAGGATGGGGGTGCGTGCGGAAAAGTGTTTGCTGATCGCGTTGTGTCGCTTCCTGTCCCCTCCGTAGCCTTCGGCTCCCGGAATCAATCGGGGAGTTTTTTGGGTGCAACTGCCCGCATGCAAGGCGGGGGCCTCGCTCACTGGCGGTGCTGGTGGCGATCCCTGAGGTGCGGTTGTTCGCGCCTGTGCCTGCAATCCCCGAGGCCGGGGAGACCGAGGCAGAAGGCCCTGGCGTGGAGGCGGTCTTGGCCTCGACGCTGCAGCACCTGGGCGCCCGGGGCTTCCCCTTTCCGCCTCCCTCCCCTTACGGAGGGGAGGCGCGCGGGCTGGATCCCGCCCCGTGCCCGGCGCCGCCCCCGGCGGTATGTCGGTGTGATTGTCCCGTGGCTGAGAACGAGTTGAGCGACTGGGTCGGGCTGAGTGTAGGGGCGTGCTGGTTTCTGGCGCAGGCCGGGTCGCTCCTGCGTCGCCGGCGAGATGATGGTGGCGAGGAACTCCCGGCTGGTGCTGGACACGGGCGTCGCCGGCACGGAAGAGGCTATATTGCCTAGGCCGAGGCTGGGGGCAGCTGGTCGCCGCGAAGTACGAGGGTTCGGCACGAGTCCGGAGGAGTTGGGTACGCTGGCGGGCTGGTGCTGGCGAGTGACCACGCCAGACGGCGACGAGTATGAGGAGGCGCTGGACGGCATCCAGCCTGGACCACATCGGCTCGCTGCGTTGACGACGAATGGGACGGCCCTTCGGCTGCTGCGCGGGAAGTTCTATCGGTAGGAACTACCACAGACGAGCAGCTGGTCCGGAAGGCCGTCGAGCACTTCCGAGCTCCGGCCAGCGCCGACGCGCCTCGGCCCCTGCCGATCGACGACGCTGGCAGCGGTGGCAACGCGGTGGCTTGGCCGGCCGAGGCGGGCCAAGACATGGAGGCGGCGCTGGCGGCCCAGGGTGGAGCAGGGGCCGCGGTGGCCAGGGGCTTCGGGCACACGCCGCTGGGCCGGTGTTGGATCGTGCGCGGGTCCGAAGGCCCGGGCCCGATCGGGACCATCCTCGACCCTGTAGATGGCGTCGACGTGCCCGCTGGCCGCAGTAGCACGCTGAAGCAGCACGGCGGGGGAGAACGGAGGCTGTGGAGGACAAGGGCACGGACACCCTTCGGGAGGATGGGGGCGCGGCGGCCTCGGATGAGTGTCGCACCGTGCGGGTGGGCTTCAATCCGAGAGGAGAGCGGTTCAAGGAGTGGCGACAGGTGCGCTTAGAGTCCCGCGCTGAGAGGTGGAGCGACGGGCCTGTTGAAGGCCCCATCGGCGCCCCTGCGCTGAACGGGGGCAGCCCCAAGACCTGGCTCGCCGAGTTCTGTCGCGATCGCCGCATCGAGAAGAGTGACCGTGTGTTTCGCGAGCTGCAGGACCTGGTGGGAATCGCGCACGTCGGCGGTACCTACGATCTGCTGAAAGGGTCAGCGTTGCAGAGTTTCGACAGCCGCCGCATCGCTACCATAGTTGATGCCTGCAGCGGCGCAGGGGCTTCAAGCTGGCGGATGGCGCGGCACTGTGAGGGAGTGCCGGGCGCGCTGGACAGCGCGGCGCCGGCGCTCTGCCAGTGGGGGGCCAGGAAGGCCAGGGACTGGAACGAGCTGAACACGGCTCGCAGCAGGGGCCTCAAGGGGGCGACCGGGGACGACGACGAGGCCGGCGGTGACGACGGCGACGGCAAGGCGGAGGGCGGCAGCGGCAAGCCTCAGGGCCGCGGCCGCGGCTCCGCCAGCAAGACGTGATGAAGGACGGGGGCCGGGTGAGAGCTCCCGGCCCTGCCCCCCAGCGAGCAGGGGCAGGCCGCGCGACCGCGTCTTCGGGGACTAGAGATCTCTCCCCGCCCCCGCGGGATGCGGGGCCTCGTCGACCCGAGGGGCGAGGCGGCAGGCGGATGGCGAGGTGGCGCGCCCGCCGACGTGAAAGTGAGGTGGTTGATGGCGCTCAGCAGGCGCTTCATTGGACGCGCGGGTTCGCGCCTGGGCATGAGGCCTTGCTGGGGCCCGACGAGACGCAGCGGGATGTCACCCAATACGTGCACGGACTGGCCCAGGGCGAGCTGCGCGCGCGTCGCGGACTCGACGCCCCGCCGGCGCAAGTGGCCTGTTCGGGAGTTGCTGCGCGGCCGTTCCCAGTGCGGCTCGAGGGCGGCCAACGACTCATTGCCGCACTTCCAGCAGGGCGGATTGTCGCTGCCAGAGTCGGCGGCTAGGGCCCCCAACATCGACAACGTTTGCGTCATGAGAGACCACTACTTTCTGGAGCAGGAGGGCGAGCGCGCGCTGAAGCCCGCTGGCGAGGCACAAACCTTGCGCGCGACGGCACGCGGCGCTACTGCGACCCTGTTTTGGTGAACCGGAAGACCGTGCGCATTTCTTTTTCTGAAGGACTTGATGTCACGAGGCTTGCTCGACTTCACCCTGGGCCCACTCGAGGGCGCGAGGATCTTCTGCGCGTGGAAGAAGGTGAGATAACGCCAGCGGCTAATGCTAGACGCACGCCGGTCGAACCAGCGGTTCAGACGGCCGCCCAGCATGGACCTGGTCAGCGCGGAGGGCCCCAGCAGCGCCGAGCTCGACATCGACCCCGGGGAGGCAGTGGGCGACGAGCTGGTGGCCTCTCTAGCGGAGGCCCTCTCCGTGACGGTAGGTGTGGCCGACGTGAAGGACGCTTGCCACCGGCCGCGGATGCCGCCTTTCTTGCGCCGGTACTTTTGCCCCCCTTCGGCCCGCAGCGGGTCTCTGGGGCTGACGGGCAGAGTGGCGGGGGGCACTGCGTTGAGCGGGAACGATCTGATATGGCCATGCCCGGCGGCCTTCCCCATGGGTTTCTCGCGGAGTCTCTTCTTCTGTCAGGCGTCGGGCGAGGAGTTGGCGAGCACGGTGCCGGCGCCGGGGCTGGACAGCCTCTTGCAGGATCGGGGGGGGGGGGGCCTCTAGTCTTCAGCTGCGAGCGCCAGGGTCATCTTCGACGCTGCATCCACGTCGACAACGCGGGCGCGCTGGGCACCGACCGGCCCAAGGTGGAGGGCGCCGTGGAGGCCCTCACGGAATCTTCGTCCAGAAGGGCCCGCGGGTGCACGAGCAGGCCGTCGCCTCGGGCGTCTGCGAGGTGCTAGGGGTCGAGCTCGACGGGCGGCCGATGCAGACCCTCAGTTGAGCGGAAGATCGGGACAAATCGGAACCAGAGATTCTGGGAGAGTTCCAAAGAAAAATAGAACGCCGAATTGCGGAGCGCCTTGCGCGCATTCGCAGAAGTCCCCCAAGGACTTTTCGAGGGCCTGAGGAGCCCAAGTAACACATGGGCGCTCAATTAAACTGTTGAGGGCGGGCAGAAAAGCTGGCGTGCACGAGCACTGGGAGCGGGTGCGCGGCTTGCACGGGGGGCGCAGTAGGTTTGCGTTTCAGGGACTTGGGCGCTGGCCGATGCGTTGATGTGGGGCCCGAGAGTGCGTCCTACATATTACGCCTGTGGCGCCATGGAGGCCGCATGTGCGGTTGCAGTGGGGCGGGCGCCCCGCCGCGCGCACCGCGGCGACAGCTCTCTTGAGCGCCCGCCCGCCGCCGTGGACGCAGTGGGCCCAGCTAGTCTCGCGGTCGGCGCGCGGCGGGTCGGCAGCCGCGACGCTGGCGGCCTGAATGCTTCGAAAGTGTTTCTCCCCGAGCCCAGGGCTATTGCGCGTTTTCGGCGGCGCGCGCAGCTCGGAGAAGAATCGCCGTGTCCGTCGGCGGCCAGTTGGCTGTCGTCGCGCAGAAGTACCGGCGGATGGCGCGGTCCACGCTTAGCGCAGAGAGCGTGTCCATGAGCGTGGACTCGTCGATGGGGCAGGAGGACCTCGTGGTCGGGACCATCGCGGTCCGCGATGTCCACGGCCCCCACCCTGGGCGAGCGGGGGCCTGGTGGGCGCCGCCGCAGGCCGATTTCAGAGAATCTCGGAACCAGAAATCCGGGCGCGCCAAATTTCGCGGGCCGAAAAACACTCAGAGAGTTTCGGCCAGTTCCGAGGTTTTGGGTGAATGGGAATATTTCACGCGGGGTGGCTAGTTCAGAGATTTTCAGAGATTCTCAGAGAAGTTCGGACGCGAGAATTGGGCGCGCCCCGGTTTCTGGTTCTGCGAATCTCTGAAAAGCGGTTCCTCAGGTTTTACCGGATCTCCAGGCGTCCTACTGTCATCCAGAGACGAGCGTTTGGCTGGCGCCGCGCCCGATGCTTTCGGAGTTGCGAACTCGGTTCTCGATTCCCTGGGGCCCGCGGGCCCCTGGGCCAATCGCGAGGTTGCCGAAGCCCCCGGGCGGTTGCGCGCGATTGTCTCCGAAACCGGAATTGGGCATCCATGGTGGACGCCCGCGCGTACGCGCTAGGTGCCCGCGAGATTATTCGGTGGCGGATATTGCATGGTGCGGGGGCCTTCCAAAGACTTTCGGGGTTTTCTCTATGGTTATTTCGGCGCGCTTCGGGGGCCCTGGGGCGGCGCGGGGAAGTCGTCAGGCCGCGCGCGGGCCCTTTTTCCAATGCCTTCTTGGGCATTATCGCGGTGTTGCGTGGCCGAAGAGGTCACTGAGTACTGCGCTTTTTGACATTTGCGCGTGTTTTTCGCTGCGTTGGTTGCGTGATTGTTTTGGCGGTCCGCCTCTTTGGGGCCCCCTTGGGGCCTCAAGTTTGTTTTGTTGACGTCGGGTCTTCTGGAGTGAAAGGCGCTTGGCGCTGAATTTCCCCTGGGCGCGCGCGTGGCCAAATGCGCGCCGTGGCCCCATCCGCGCCGGGGCGCATTTCCTCCCTCGCGAAGCCGATGGTGCCCAAGGCGTGGCAGGCCCGGTCGGCGGCGCCCCTGGTGATTTGAAAAACCGAGCATGATTTTTATACCGGTCAAACTTTGCCCCGATCCGGGCTTCATCTTAGACCCGCGCCGCTGGCAAGAGACGGCTTCGCGCCAGGCAGGCCATCGCTGGCCTCCTGCAGCGAGGCCGCCGCTGTGGGGTTGTACTGGAGGTGCTGTTGGGGCACCTCACCTTCTTGGCCATGTCACGACGGCCAGTGCTGCCTTGTTTCCATGCGCGCTACGCCTTCGCGCAGAAACATTACTTCGTGACCAGGCCCTTGTGGGCCAGCGTGGCGGAAGTGCTTCGAGTGTTCGCTGGTATGGTAGTTTTTCTGTGCAGTGATTGGGGTCGTCCTTGGAATTTGCTTGTCCTAGCTTCAGATGCTTCGGGGCACGGGCATGGAGCTACCGAGGCATGGTGGCCCCTTGACATGGTCCGGGACACGGGCCGTCGGCGCGAAAGACAGGTTTTTGGTGCCAGAAGCCGTCCATGCGCGGGCGTCAGTTCTAGGCTTCGATGAGGCCCCTTCAAGGCGAGCCGAGGCCCTGCCGGGCGAGGGAACGCCCAGCGGCCCGCGCGCCGTCCTGCCCCCCGGCGCCCGAGAGATAGACCCCGAGTTGTTGGGGGTTCTTTGGGTCGGACTGGGCCCGAAGCTCTGGGGCGGGGGATTGCGCGCTTGGAGGCCAGTGCCCTGGCGATGAACATCCGAAGGCTCGCTCTGCTCTCTTTCGGGCGGGATATCCGTCAGCTTCTCCTGGTTGACAATCTGGCTGTCTGTCTTGCTCTCGACGGACGCCATGCTCGGGATTTTTCCTATGAGATCAGGCGCGCCGTTTCTGCTGATATTGTTTCGCAGAGAATATATGCGCAGTTGTCCAGTGGAGTCCGTCGGAGCTAAACGGCGCTGATGGTCCCTGTCGACGTCGCGACCCGACCATGGGGGTTGTCAGCAAGCCGCTGGGGGGGGGGCCGTCTAGAGGTTGATGGGGCCAGGGCCAGAGCTGGCAGGTCCAGTGCAGGCAAGGCTACCCCCGCCCCCTCTTCCGCGTCTCCGCCCTCGCTTGATCGCCCGACGCCTGCCGATCGAAGCTGCCGCCGTCGGCGGGCCGGAGGCCCCGGGGCCGAGGGCCACGGCGACTCGGGGGAGGGCGCTGGAGCCAGGCGAGATGGCTGCGGGCGAGCCGAGGCCCGCCGGTCGCCGAGCGCAGTCGGGGGCGCCCCTGCCGCGAGGGCGGGCGACGACGGCGCGTCGGCCAGAGGCGGGGCCCGGGAAGGGCCTCGTGGAGCACGAGCCGGTGCTCCGCGACATCCAACGCGACGGTCCGTCGCGCGCGGGGCGGGCGGCGCTCAGTCGAGCAGCTCCAGCAGCGCGCCGCGCAGCCCGCCGGAGAGAGGGGGGGGCGCGTCCTCTACTAGCGACGGAGACGGATGGAATTGAACTGCGCGTCGGAGGCCTGGGGCCCGCGCGACGCGGGTGCTGGCCTCTTCGAGCAGCGCGCCGTGCAGGAGCAGACCCGAATTGAATGCCGGGCCGAGCTAGGGGACCTCGAGCAGGTGAGCGAGGAGGAGATCGACGAGTCGCCGGTGCGCCTGTTCGAGCGGGGCCCAGAGTGCTTCGTCGCGGCCAACGGCCCTCGAGGCTATTGGGGTCTCCCGGTGCATGTAGCCGAGCGCGGGGTCACAGACAAGATGGGGTTTTTCGATCACTCGATGCTCTTGGACCGCGCCTGGTTGCAGTTGATCACGCCTTTCTTGTTTTCCTTGGCCAGTCCGACCAGCCAGAGGCCAGCCTGGGGGGGTTCATGCATTGGGTTTGCCTGAAGTGCCCACGGAGTGTGCGAAGCCTCTGGGCGTGCGAGTCGCGCCTTACCAGGCGCGGAACTCGGGGGCATCCATCGACAGAGAGCGCCAGCCGAGCTGCTTCAGCGAAGCGAAGCAGCGGGGGGTGGGGAGGCCGACAGCTGCGCGACGAGGTACGAGAAATATGCTCGACTCCGGCACAGCGAACTGCGATGTCCAGACGGTCTACTAGCACCGCACCTTCGAGCATGCGAACGACAGCTAGAGGGCGCCACCCTACAGGGCAAGGTGGTAAGTAACTCGCTGCAGTTGGATGTGACGCGAGGGCGGTGGTTGATCGATGTTTTCTTTGGGACTGGAGGGGTCGCCAAGTCGCTGCGAGCAAAGGGCTTCCCTTGTACAAATTAGAGCTCAAGAAGGTTCTTGACATGTTGCATCGCTTGTCTCGGCTGAAGCTCCTCTCAGACGTGAAGTCAGGGACAGTAGCTGGGGACATGATTGCCCTGCCTTGCGCGACTTGCTCCTTTGCACAGAACGGTCGTCTTCGCTCGGAGCCCCATCCGATGGGGCTGCCCTGGCTCCCGGGCCATCTCCAAGCCCGCGTCGACCATGGGAGTGCTCTGCTGAAAGCTAGCGCCCAACTAATTCGCGCTTGCATTGCCCAGGGCGTTCCGTGGATCCTGGGGAACCCAGGGAGCCCGTGTCGTTTTCAGACCCCGCCTGTAAAATAATTGCTCTGGCTCGGCTGGTGTTTCGAGGTGACTCGTGACCAGCGTCAGTGCGGCACTCGCTGGCGGAAGCGAACTATGTTTTTGATCGGCAACGTCTGCTTGGACGACCGCTCAAGAGTAGGTCAACAATGCCGAGCGCATCGAGGCGTTTGTTCCCGCGCGGGGAAAGCGCATTGGCACCTGCGTGGAAAGACGGAGGCAGGAGCGCATTGGACAGCCACTGCCGCCGGATACCCCCGTCCCCCTGCTCGGGCCCTGGCTGTCGCCCTCTCAGCCCCCGCGAGGTCTCGCCTGCAAGGCTGCTAGAGTGGGCCTGCCCAAGCTGTATTAGATTTCCCCTCAGGTGAATTGGCTCGCTTTCAAGATCGACTCGGATCGGCGAACATCTGGTTTGGGCTGGTTTGGGGCAATTGGCAGCGGCTACGCGTAGACGCTGCCAGTGAGACTTGGGATGCAATTTCCGCTGAGCGGGCAGCTAAACATGGGGGCGCGTGCGCAACAATGTTTGCTGATCGCGTTGTGTCGCTTCCTGTCCCCTTCGTAGCCTTCGGCTCCCAGAATCACCCAGCCCTCCCTCGCCACGGTGTTTTTCTTTTCTCCATCCAGGTATCGGTCAATGGCCCTCACCCTGGGGCGATTGGCAGCGGCTACGCGTAGACGCTGCCAGTGAGACTCGAGACGCAATCCCCGCTGAGCGGGAAGCTAAACAAATCTCGAAAGTATGAGGAGTCCTGGGATCTGCGTGTATTCATTTATTCGCTTCGCTCACTCTGGCGGCCAATTTCGCATCGCTGTTGGGCGGTCGCGTTGCAAGATGGTCCAAGAGAGCTGCAGCAGAGCTTCGAGGTTTAACAGGGTTGCGGAAGGTCCCCAGGAGGCCTAACTGAGTGCAGACTTGTCCTAATAGAAAAGGCGTGAGGCCCGTCCTGGGGGTCTCTTGGGTTGTCTTGGGGCGATCTTGGTGGCCTCTTGGGCCGTCCAGGGCGGTCGGCAGCCCCAAAAAGCGGTGGCGCCAAAATCGTCCGAGAACCCAAGCGAATTCATACCGCGACTTGTCGGCATGTGTGGTGCATGTGTGGCCGTATCCTTGTGCTCAAGTTCACGAGGGGATGCAGGCCCTGTTCGAACGCCTCTCGCAGGATTTCGCCAGGGCCCTTACCACTGCCATCATCGTCCGCGGGAGTTCAGTCCCGTGCCCCGATTGCGATTGCGCGTGCTCCCCCGCGCTCCACTGCCCTGCGCTGAAGCGCCGCTGCCCCAGCGGCGGGGGCTTGCTCGCGGCGAGCGCGCCCGCCGGCTGGTCGACGGGCTTCGTGACGGGCGCGGCGATCGTCGCGCTAGGCCTTGGCGCGCTGGGCGGCGGCCGCGCGGCTGCCAAGGTGCGGCGCTCGGGGCCCGCGGGCGGGCCGCCAGGCTTTCTGCGTCTCAAGGAGCCCGAGCCCGTCCTCGACCTGGCGTCGGCAGCCGCCGCTCAGGCTCGCAGCTTTCGCCGTAGCTAGGCAGAATGGCGGGGCCCGTATCCGGTCAGTTCCACCTCGTGCGATACAACATCGGCGGCCCCGCCATCTACCACGAGCGGCTGACGCTGCTGCCTGGCTACATTCTCACGCCCGGCGGCGACCGCTGCGCCGAGGGGAGCGCTGCGATTTGCGACATCCGATCCGTTCACATTCTAAGTGGCCAAGGTGAGGGCTTGCCTGGAGTTCCAGCAAACCACCTGTGCCAGTTTCGGCAGCTTCCTCCAGCAGCTAATGCGTGGTCCGCGCTGCGGCGCGCGTCAGCTCAAAGGTTTGGACTCCTGCCAGCCCCCCCGTTCTGCATCGACCTCAGCGGCACGAACGTTCTGGGGCTTGCTGCGGGGCCGCTCGCGCCGCCCGGCCCGCTCGCGCCCGTGGCGGCCGCTGCTGGCGGTCCCGCGGCCCCCGCGCTGCCTGCCCCAGTCGGCGGCGCGGCGTCGCCTGCGGCGGGCGCCCTGCCGGCTGCTGCGGCCCCTGCACCGCTGCCTGCGCTGGCGGCGCCGCCTGCCGCAGGGGCGCGTCTCGGCGGCGCCTGGCGGCGGCGCGCCCGCGCCCGCGGCGGCTGTCGCAGCCCCCCCTGGCGCTGGCGGCGGCGCCGCCCCTCCCGTGGGGGCGGCAGCTGGTAGGGATCCCCGCGCGATGGCCGTCGTCTTCGACGGCCGCGGCTTTCGCGACATCAGCATCAGCGACGCGGTGAAGCTCCAGACGGAGACGGCGCGCGCCGACTGGCCTGCGAAGGGCCCGAGGGCGCTGCTCTGGGCCCTCGGCTTCGCGCGGCGCATGGCAGGCGGCGCCATGGCCTGGCACAACCGCTGGCTAGCGATGATGCCGCTCAGCGAGCACGACGAGAACGCGTTGCTGCACGACGCTCTGCCGCGTCATAGAGACCGCCCTCTGCCACGACCAGCTGGTGATCTGCGAGCTCGCCTCGCATGAGTACCTTGCCCGCCAGCTCCAACTCGCGGAGGAGCGCGCGTTCGAGGAGCGGTCGAGGAGGTCGCAGCCCGCGGCCAAGGCGAAGGCTTCAGGCGAAGGAGGCCTCCCCAGCCGACCTCGCGTCCGAGGTGGGCCACTTCCTCGGCGCAGGCGAGACCGAGGGGAACCTGTGCATCAGCCCCGCGCTGATGGGTTGGATCGCTGGTCAGATGAAGATGGAAGCCGCGGTGGCGACAGAACGACGCAAGGGTCGTGAGGAACGAGCCTTGCGGGCGCCGTGGCGCCCCCTCAGGGCGCTGGCCAGGATGGGCTTCGCGAGTTTGTTTTCCATCATCGTGAGCCTGGTCAGCTTGGCCCGTAGGCGCTCGCGCCCCCGCCTGGCCCCGAGGCGCCCGACGCGGTGCCCGTCGCCAGCGCGACGTTTTTCCTCTGCCCCTTCTTCCTGTGGATGGGTGCCGCCATCTGCCCCTTGGTCGAGCGGCCCGTCTTCGAGCTGCCACAGGCGCGGGCTTGCGAGAGTGGTGCAACGAGGGGTTGTCCGCTCTCAACTGGCTCCATTGCGGCAAGGACGAGCACTGCGCGACCCAGGGCGGTGTTGCAGCGCCCGCTGTGCAGGCAGCCTCGGTGGAGCATCTTGCGGGCCTCTACCGCGAGTTCGAGCTGCCTGCCGCCTACTCGGAGAGGAGCAGCGCCTGCGAAGCATCCCTGGTAGATGCTCGCTCAGGCACCTGGCTGCGCTGGTGACGGCGGTCGGGTGCGGCCCTGCAGCCAGCCGCTCGTGGCCCGGCCCCAGTCGACGAAATCCGTCTCCACCTGCGACGTCGTCTCGGAGGCCGATTCCATCGTGCTGCAGGCGAGCTGCACTTCCAGCCTACGTCCCACGCTCAGTTTTTGAAGCAGCTGGAGGCCCGCGACATGATCACGCAGCGGGCCGTCAGCCCTCAGTCTTCGAACTCAATCGGTTTACTCTTTGTGGAGAAATCCAATCGCAAGCTCAGGCTCGCGTTCGACACTCGGCTGGCCAACTGCAGTTTCGCGGCGCCCCCAGCCACCAAGCTCCCAACGCTCGGCGCGTGGGCCAGTGTCGACTGCGATGACAGTTTCGTGTTTGCTCAGGGAGACATCCAGTGTGCCTTCTATCACTTACGCTTGCCTGTAGGGATGGAGTCGCTGTTCTCGCTGCCTGCGATCTCCAACAGACACATCGGTCTCAAATCGAGGACGCCGGCGGCGCATCACCGGCCGCTCCCTGGGAGTTTTTCGAAGAGGTGCGCAGCATCGAAAGTCGTGACGCGGCGCGTATGCCAGCTATCAAATAGCCGTCGCCCCATCCCGCCACCGTGCTTGGGTTTTGGGTCGGACGGAGTCCTCATGGACGCTTCCTGGGGTCTCTCGAGAGGGCTCTCGGAGGCTTCTGCGGGGCAGTTTAGGGGCCTCTTGGGGGCGTCCCAGGGGCTTCTTGGAGACCTCTTGAGGCCCTCTTGGGGCCTCTTGGGGCTCTCTTGGGGTTTGTTGGGGGCCTCCAGGGGGCCTCTTAGGGTCTCCTGGGGGCCTCTCGAGCCGAAAGCTCGACATGTTCATTCGGGTACCCCTTCTGGGCCTCCTCTTGGGGCCATCCTGGGACCCCTCTTGGGCCGTTCCGGGGGCCTCTTGGGCGGTCTTGGGGCCCTCTTGGGCAGTCTTGGGGCCGTCTTGGGGGCCTGTTGGGCCGTCCTGGGGCGATCTGGGGGGCCTCTTGGGCCGTCGTGGAGCGTGGGTAAGCCGAAATGGCGTGAACGTGTAAATCCTTCAAAAACCATTGAAAAATCAATGATTTTTGCTTCTCGGGGCTGTCTTGGGGGTGCTCTTGGAGCCCTCTTGGGCCGTCTTGGAGGCGTCTTGGGCCGTCTGGAGGCCATCTTAGGCGTCTTGGAGCGATCTGGAACCGTCTGGAGGCTCGCTTGGGCCGTCTTGGGGCTCTCTTGGCCCGTTTTAGGGCGCTCTTGAATCGCCCCCGGGCGCCGGAACTGTTCAGGGAGGGGGGGTCCGCCGGCAGAGTGGGGCCCCCTCGGAGAGACTTTCAGGAGGGCTTTGACCAGCCACTGGCGAAGGAAGGGGAAAGATAGCGCCGAACACTTTGTCAGAGAGGTCTCGCACGGCCCAACCCGCAGGGCGGGAGCGGCCGGATTTAAAGGCTGCCGCCTCTGCCGCCGACCCCAAAGGAGGTCATGATGGCGCGTGTCAGCTGGTTCTGGGCGTGGGGCAGGGGCTCGGCAGCAGCACGTCAAGGAGGTGTCGTGTTGGGGCAGGCTTTCGTGCTCTTCGGTGTTCTTGGTGCGCGCACATCCGTCAAGCACAATAGAAAGTCAGTGATGTTGGGTTCTTGGGGCCGCGTTCGGGACTCGTGGAGGTTCGGGGAGGCTTCTTGTTGCTATGTTGTACGGACTTCGCCCGAAGCGGGACGGCCTGTGGCACTTGTCGCCGTGCGAGTTCGTTACGTATTGGAGGCCCGTGCTCGCGGCGTTTCCGACCAGTGTAAGGGACGCCCGAGCCGACAAGGACAGGCACCACGCGTTTTTGACACCGGAGGGGGAGCAGAAAGTGCAGGAGCGGGGTCGGAATCAGGAGCAGGCGGAAGACTTAGTGCCAGGAGTGGATTACATGGTGAAGGGCGACGCAGGAAAAGACTGGGTTGCCTTTCCAGACACTGACGGATGCCGGCATCTGCGACACACGTGGGTCCTGGTCAGAAACAAGAGGCCTCTGGCGCCAACCTTTTTCGGGGCTCCGGTCCCGCGCAGCCGGCGCGGGGAAGCTGAGCGATCCGCGCGGATAGTCATGTTCTACTTCCACCCGTGGACGCTGCGACAATCCGAGGCCGACGATCACGTTGTGTTCGCAGGCGGACTGCGGCGGGACTCGAAAACGCGGGAGGCCGCCATGGCATCGTGGCTAGACGGCGGGGTGCAGACAGACGAGGCTGCGCGGTACGTGGGGAATTTCCTCAGCGTGCATCGCGTGCGGCCGAGGGATGCGGACCAAGAGGATGCGCGGAGTGATGAGGACGTGAGCGACGAAGAGCTGGAGGTGGGCTTTGACCAACTGGACGAGGCTCTGAAGTCACGCGTCGGTGGTCGGAAGCGGGACGACGGAGACGGTGACAGCAGCAGTGGAGAAGAAGACGGTGGGCCGGAGGATGGTTCGGGTGGGTGTTCCCATTACGAGATTTCGAAAGCAGGCATGGCCGTGGCTCAGGAGGTGTGGGGCCAGCGGCCGAGTGAGAAGTCGCTCGGTGAGGTCCGCAGCGCGTGGCCGAGAGCGCTCAGCTGCGATCTGGAAGCCGTGCAGGCCGCAGCACGAGCGTCGCGCAACAAGGAAAAATCAATGGCCGACAGAGTAGCGGCTGAGGAAGGGAGCGGGGAGGTAGCGGCGCAGGCAGGGGCGACATCCGGTCAAGTGGCAGAGTGGCTCAGGAAGCTGCAGTTCAGGACAGACCCAGACACAGGCCGGCGCGTCGTCAACGCGAAGCAGTTTGCGATGGTTGAGCAGGTTGCAAACAGGGTGATGCAAGAGCTGGACGGGGAGGTGCGAGGGGGCGCAGGCATGGGTGACCCTCTGCGTTGGTACATGCATGGAGGGCCTGGAACAGGGAAATCACACGTGCTGCGCATACTGCGGAAGGAGCTTTTCGAAGAGATCATGAAATGGACGATTGGCGTCCATTTTCAGATCACGGCCTTCCAGGCAGTCATGGCGCAGCTGCTCGGTGGGGACACTATACATCACGCCTGCGGTATTCCCGCCGTCAAACGAGGCGACGAGAAGGGGGAAGATGCGAAGCTTCAGTACGACACAGCGAAGCGAGTTCTGCAGTGGAGGTGGTTGTTCATCGACGAGATCAGCATGGTCAGCGCCCGGCTGCTCGCCGAAGTAGACCAGAAGCTTCGCAGCGTCATTCGGGATGCGGGCACGCAGAAGTGCGGGCCAGACGGAGTGCCGCGGCCCTTTGGCGGCTTGAACGTGGTGTTGAGCGGTGATTTTTGGCAGCTGGCGCCTCCAGACGGGGGGTTCCTTGCCGACGTGCCAACAGAGCGCATCGCGGAGGCTCGGAAGTATACCTCGCTTCCGCCAGTGCTGCACGGGCAAGCTCTCCTGTGGGGGGGGTGAGGAGGGCGCGCAGGGAGTGACGGAGCTAGTGGAGTGCGAGCGCTGCGACGATGCCTGGCTGAAGTCCGTGCAAGACGAGTTCCGCAGAGGAGACCTCACGGAAGACACGCATGCCTTTTTGCACGGGCGGGATACGAGCGCCCCGGGAAGTTGGCTCCATGGGCAGGTGGGGCGTGGGCAGGCGAGCTGTCAGGCTTTGGGTGAGGGCACAGGGGTTTCGCACAAGGATGCTGTCGGAGCACGCCGTCAGCGCTCGGTGACCTCGAAGGACCTCCGCAGGCAGGAGTGTGGGAAGTGCAAGCATGAGCGCGAACGGCGCCGTCTCGTCATCGATGGTCCAGATGACCCGCGCATGCACACGGCGAAGTTTCGGTGTGCCCCAGGAGTGTTCCCGAACAACGACGTGAAGTATGAGGTGAACAAACTGCGAGCGTCGCAGTATATGCCCGGGTGCACGAGAAGCCGATGGCATACATTCCGGCGCGCGACACGCCCACGCCGGACGCGCTACGGGAGCGACCAGATTTGCCGCGCCACAAAATGGCCTGGTTGCAGCGCCACGACAAGGAGAGCGGGGATCTGTATGGGTTTTTGCCGATTGCGGAGGGCATGCCAGTGGCCCTCACGGATCACGTAGATCGCAGCGAGGACAAGTATCTGCTCCGCGGTCGCGTGGGGACCGTGCACTCATGGGTGTGTGAAGGCGTGGAAGGGGCGGGCCGCGTCTGCCGGGGTGGGGAGACCATATTGCAGAAGACGCCAAAGGTGATATTTGTCCTGTTCGA